GATCATCATATCCAGAGAAAGATGCTTATGAAAGTGAAAAAAAAGAAGTTTATTCTAAAAAGGTTAATTCATGCAAGTTTTAAATCAGTCTATATTTGATTTAGCGTGTGTGAATTACTCCATTAACAACACCAACGGGTCCATTCTTCTGTCATTTTTGGCAGTGAGACGGGGGCAAGTTTACATGCACATGTCAGCATGTAACCACTGGTAACTGAAGTATATAAGTATAGTATAAGCATACTCTTGTCAGTTCTCATACAATCTTAGATTGAATTAGCTATATTGCTTTAATAAGCTATGCAGAATAGCTTAAGCTATTTCGACCACCACATTTTTTCTTAAATATGTTTTTTTTTTTTTTTTCTGTTGAGCATGTACAAAAAAGTGGCACTTAAATACAGTGATAGTATTCAATCCTGAACTCCTCTGAAAAGAATACACATATTTATGTAAATAACTTGTTTCTTAAGGCCAAGATTTAATCTTGATATGGGAAGATAGTGACCACTCTATATCTTGAGAAGCCTTTGCTTGACATACATGTACCTCATATTTATAAGTACATTATTTTCTTTTGAGGAGTAAATGACAATTATAGATTTTGAGGTCCCAAAGTCAAAGATCAAGGGTCAAACTGGACATAAGAATATTGATCGCTCAATATCTTAAGAACCCTTTACTTGACAGAAATCACACTTGGTATAATGGCATCTCCTGATGAGTAAATGACCACTGCAGATTTTGAGGTCACAAGGTCTAAGGTCAATGAACAAACTACTTTAGGCATAAAAAGATATTTCCATTCAATATTTTGAGAACCATTAAATTTTGCATGATAGACATTTAATTTTTATAAAATAATACCCTTTGAAGAATAGATGCCCACTATATTTTTAGCTCTTCTGAGCCAAAGGCTCAAAGAGCTAATGCTATGGCCATTTGTGCAGTGTGTGTAAACTTTTTAGAATATGGGCCATAACTCAAGAACCCCTCGGCCAATTATTGTCAAATTTGTCACAGGGTATCCTTGCCCCAAGGGCTCCCGTTTATACTAAAACTAGGGTTGTTACCCTTAAACAAGGGGAGATAATTAGGAAAATAGAAACAAAAGTACTGGTTGCTAAAAAATCTTCTTCTCAAGAACGACGGGCAGATTATCACCAAACTTACACAAAAAGATGAAGAAATTTTGTAGATTAAAATTTGCACAGGGAATTGCCCTGGGGCAAAGGGCGTGGTCTCAAGGTCACTTCAAAGTTGACCAAAAATTACATTTTATTAAAATGTTGATATTTTGCTTACTATTAATAAGGACTAGGATCATTAAATCTTGTCAGTTGATGCATCTAAGGACTTCATATCATGTTGACTCAAAAGTAGGTCACAGTGACCTACTTTTAAAAATTTTGCAGCCATTCATTTTCAAAATGTTTTAGAGGCATATTTTGAAGAATTTAAGGCCTATGATCATCAAACTTTGTCAGTTGATGTATCTTGGGTCCTCGAAGTACGTCAACTAAAAAGTAGGTCACCTTGACCTTTTTTTTTAATTTTATGGCTAATCTTTTTCAAAACAATTAAGGTCATTAATTCGAATACTGAGAGGTTTAGAATCATTAAATCTTGTAAGATGATGCATCTTGGGGCCATAAAATATATTTATTAAAAAGTAGGTCACAGTGACCTACTTTTTGAACTTTCAATTTCAAAACGTTTTAGAGGCATAATTTCGACATTTTAAGGCCCATGATCATAAAACTTTGTAAGTTGATGCATCTTGGGTCCTTGAAAAACGTCAACTGAAAAGTAGGTCACCGTGACCTACTTTTCAATTTATATGACTATAATTAAATATTTCGGGTACTAATTGGCTAAGAATCATTAAACTTTGTCAGTTGATGCATCTTGGGTCTTCCGAGTAGGTTGACTGAAAAGTAGGTCACCATGACCTACTTTTGAAAATTTATGACTTTAATTAAATATTTCAGGAACTAATTGGCTTTGAATCATCAAACTTAGTCAGTTGATGCATCTTGAGTCCGCAGAGTTAGTCGATTGAAATGGAGGTCACTGTGACCTACTTTTGAAATTTATGGCTTTATTTAAATACATCTGGTACTATTTGGCTTAGAATCATCAAACTTTGTCAGTTGATGCATCTTGGGTCCTCAAAGTATGTCATCTGAAAAGTAGGTGACTGTGTGTGTGACCTACTTTTGAAATTTTATGGTAATAATTTTAAAAATATTTTAGGTATTAATTGGCTTAGAATCATCAAACCTTGTTGATTGTATCTTGGGTCCTCAGAGAATGACAAGTGATAAGTAGGTCACCATGACCTACTCTCAGGCACTAATTGGCTTGAATCATCTTGGGTCCTCAATGTTTCATCTAAAATGTAGGTCATGATGACCTACCTTTGGAATTTCAAGGCTTTATCTAAATATACAGGATACTTAGAGGCTTCAAATAGAAGTGATAGGTTGTACAGTTTATCAGAAGAGCGATTCAAGGCCCTTAGGCCTCCTGTTTGGGGTCACAAGATCAGGAGTCAAGGTTCAAATTGAATATATTAGGAATAAAATGTCAATATCATAAAAAGCATAGTACTTTGAAGTTGATCCCTCTTTTATATTGTCATAAGGTGGATATTTTTTTTTTAACATACATTGATTCACTTGTATTGTGAATTAAGTTTAGGAGGAAATTGAAATCTAAATACCATTCAAGTATCGTGGTACATCATTGTATTAGTTTGATGTAATTGAACAAATGACTCATTAGAAAGGTTACTATAGGATTATTTTTCCTATATTGTGCCAAGACATGGGATATTTAATCCTAGCTTCTTCATTTAGTGGGATTTTTGTCCTGTGGGAGAAATAATCCCATTTTGCAGCAACCAAGGGATTTTTTTTCCCATATGGGACAAATTATCCCATAGTATTATTTCTCCCATGGGATTTTGGTGGGATTTCAGGTGGGATGAAAAATCCCCCCATTCTCCCATGGGATTTTAAGTTTTGGAAGAAGTTTATAAGAAAACTACAACATTGTGGAAGTTAAGATTGACATGATGAGATGAGAATAAAAAATCCCACCAAAATCCAGGAAAATTTTTAAATTATGTCTTTTCGAAAGGGTACCTAAAAGTCCGGACTATGTCGTGTCCGGACTTAAATGTCGCAGTGTTTTGTATATTCGTATGCAAACTACAAAAGTCAATTCGTACACATTTTTTTCGTTTTTATGAACATGACACAAATGTGAAAAGTCATTTCGTACACACGGCTTTTTATAACGATGTGTTAATGTAAAATTTCAGTAATATTTATTAATAGTCAGAATATTTGAGGGAAAAAATATTTGAGGATAATGGTTTCACATTTTAACTCCGAAATCAAATAATAATAATTGCTAAACACACGCACGGTGGTTTCTTAGTTACATATATGCGACAGACACTAATTACGAGACGTCCCCAATTTGATACTCCATAATTACGAGATACTCCATGCTAGGAAAGCGTCGATCTCCAAATTTCTCCAATTCCAAAATATGGTTCGAGGACTGCACATTCCTCGGTTACAGAGCTATCATAGCTCATGTTATTATGTATATATACGCCGACTATAAATAAAATTTACTTGACTTGATTTGATTCCTTGTTCCGGAATTGAATGTTTTTTAAATGTTTTATTTGAGACGTTTCGTGGAATTTTTATACAATAAAACTTTAAAAGTTAATTGTAATTTTACGATGTCTTTTGATTGCTTGAATTTCTATTATCTGTTGACGATACTAAATTAGAAAGATATATATTTTAGGAAAGAAAAAAAAAAGATCACGACACCTTAATCAGTTAATAAAAGAGTTGTTGGAGGCAGATACGATGCCATAAAATTTGCAAAGTTTAATACGATTCTATCTTTAAAAAAGTAAGCCATTGCCTAATTATCTCGAACACAAAAACTACTGAACGAATGCTAATTTATCAAAACTAAAATTAAAAAGACTGTGACGGACAAACGTTACCCATATATTTCATTCGTATTTGAAAATTCTCTTGTGCCTCGATTAAAATTTACCATTTAAAAAGTGTAAGAAAAAAGGTACTCAAATACATGTGCATGAAATATTAGGATTTTCTTGCGAATTCAGTGGGTTTGATTTAGGTCAGTCTTCACAAATTAAATTTCGTATTGCGCAATGACTAGCAGGCTCATTGCATATTAAGATTACGTATGAGAAATAGCATCGTCGCAAACCGCGGCCAAAATGTACGATCTCCCACTCTGGAGAGAGCTATATGCGGTTTGAGACGACGGATAAATAGAAGCTGACAAATATTTTGTTATTCTGTTCTTTTTTTTTTCTTTTCGAACAGTATATATCAAACAAAAAAGTAAGACTTCTGTACAATGTCGCACAATCTGCAGTACATAGCCAAAAATGATTCATCATTCTGAATAAAGATTTGAAATTATAAAGTCAAAATTTCTAACTACAAAAACCACGATTTCATTACACGTTTTTTGTAAAACATGCATCTTAGAATAAAAATGTTCAGTCACTACATGAATATACTAGGAACCTTGATTCCCCTATGATTTAACATTTAGGATAAACTGGTTTTGACACGTTTTAAGCAATAATTTATGGGAAAAAATACTAAAACATGAGGATCCCAAAATCCATTATTTGAATATATAATTTCAATCTGTCCATCATCCTTAAAGGACTTATCGCACGGTTCTAATTTTTTTGAAATTAAAAGCTTATTACCTTCCTTATGATAACAGTTTATTATTTTCCTGTTTTCACTGCTGATTTACCGCAGTAATTAAGAAAATTATCGACTCAAATGAGAGCCTCCGATTTAAAAAATCCGAGTTAATTAGATAGCGGGTCACGTGGTCGCGTGACGTCAAAGGCGACAATTGCTGATCAGCTGTCACGTTATTCTTACCAGAACATACATCGTTTTTTCTGCATTATGGACGACCAAATCGCTGATATTGCCGAAATTCCTGTGAGGTTAGATATCCAACCTTATATGTTTGAGCCGTTACCAAGAGAAAATCCACAAAATCAGCAAGAAAACAGCGACGAAAGCGAGGGCGACGAAGGCAACGACGAAGAAACTCGCCTCCAAAATACAACTTGGTTAGTGATATTTCATACGTATTTACCTGATTTGTCTTACAAATTTTACATTCTAGTATATATATTATATTTTTAATATTTATTTTAAACAAAATATAGCTTCATGGGTGCTATGAATTTATTTCAGATAACGTTTTTAAATAACACCTATCGCAAAAAATTACCGTAATTCAAGTACATGTTCTCTGAAAGAAAAAATATAGTATATAGGTCCCTGAACATATAAATAAATAAATAAATAAAAAAGAATATTTTTTCAGTCTCGGAAAGTCATTGAAAAGGATTTCATATTTTATAGAGATGTGCGGATCCCCCCCCCCCCCCCCTTTTTATTCTATCAAAATATTTGTGTATGAATTTATAACAAATTATGAAAAAATTGTCATTTATAAGAAATGAATAATATCATAAGTATTTACCGGTAGATTTATGCTTCTGACTTGTATTCATTTTATCTACATTTATATTATTATTGGATGACCCCCCCCCCCCCCAACAAAAAAAAAATCTCTTTGAACTAATCTTGCATAAACATGCATTTACTGCAGGTGCGAGTGTGGCTCATGTGAGGTTATGAGGACCAGTATTGAATGCGTTTGCTGTGCAGAAATTTCACTCACTCAACAAATCTGCGAGGACTGCAATCTAGAATGCATCACACAACACCAGACTTTTATTGACAACTGCCTCAATGAGAGAGTTTTAGAAGTCAGCTTGTACAACTACATCCAAACCGAGGGGCCTCTTGATGACAATGAGCCAATAAATGAGTAAGAGTTGAAGCTATACATACATGTTTTTAATATTTTTATTTCATGGCAAAGAAAACAATATGTATCTTGCATATGAATCATACTTCAATAAGATTAATTGAAAATCAAATTACAGTAAATATTTTATCTTACTGATGACTATATATTCAAAATTACATTTCTGAAAAATAAATATTTTCAGTAACAATTAACAGTGTTTTTAAACACAATAAGCAAAAGCTATGAAATCAGCAACAAAATCTATTACATAGTTTAATTATATTGCAGAGTCTTTCGCCACATTGCATACAGGAGGTTTGTACTCTGGGTCTGGCATAGGCTTGGTCGAGGCAACCGCAAGGTACTACCCTCATGTGTCGTCAACAAGATTCGTGATAGGTTTTCGTCAAACAGCTACACCGGTTTCAAGTACCCTCAGCCAGTATGAGTGCATCATCTCGCGAATCTGGTGCGTCTTGACATAATAAGTTCTTCTTTGTTCACGGCTGCATATGCAGAGGTCAAAGGTGGTGGCTGGTACCCAAGAGACACTCGCGCATCTGAAGAAGCGGCCGAGTAAGAAGGAAACTGTCTCCGGCGCTCCACCAGATTCAACCTCAACAGATCAACATAATCTGCAAATGTAAAAAAAAATTATAAGTGTTGACATTACAATTATAGCTTTTTTAATATGGAGTAAACACTTTGATACCTGATATTATGCATGTTGATGACAATGAATAAATTATTTAATTTTTGGTTTGCATTAATTATTAATTTTGGTGTGTTCATTACTTGAAAAAGTGTTTTTAAATAAATTGCAAACATACCATATGTGATTTGAGTCTTGTGCGGTTTGACCACAGCATGCTCCCCTTTCTTTGCCTTTGGATAACTCAGCTGCCATTGGACTTCACCTGCTCTTGTGCATGCTTGGTGTCTTCTCCCATTTTCGTTAAAGTGTAGTGATGCTACACAGAGCCTAAAATAAAAAATAACTTTTACTTACAAATATTTAGAATTTTAAAGACCTAAAGTTGATTCTTTCACAAGAAAATGATTTATTTTTTCATGCTTTATGTTCGTAAATTTAAGTACCTTGCCATCATTGCTGGGTAGAAGAAATGTGTGTTCTTCGGAGCGAAACTGTTAACCACACTGTGATAGACTTCCAGTCCATATGTCTGATGAAGTGGAGATAGCTTGGCAATGTCTTTCAACAGAAACTTACTCTCCACCACTTCTCGAAAAAGCTTGTGGGCCCTTGATCCTATGGAAAACAATAGTCAATGATAAATTAAACATCATAAATGTAGAAATCAAATAAATTTTATTGTTAAAAAAATTGTATGACGTAATTATTAGTTCAGTAGCTTACTAAGTTACAACTATAATGACTTAATATAAAATTTGGTATCATACCTTCTCTCAACCAAAGCTTGTCTTCAGCCAATACACCATGTTCACAACTTTCATGTTTGTTGGCAATGTGCTGGATAAGGGATGCCCACTTCTGCTCTTTCAGGTCCCCATTTTCCCCACAAAAGACAGCCACCCAGTAGCAGTGGTTTACTGCACTTTTGACCCAAGGCCTGATGTTTTCACAGTCTTTCTTCTTGGCAGCAGCTTCTAACTTCTTTGACACTCCTGTGTATTCAAAATAAATTGTTAAAAAAATAAAAAAAATTGACATACATTTTTATCAAAATGCTTTTAATTTTAAAAAGGTTACTTGCAATGCATACAATGTGTAAAGTGAATGATACTGGTGAAATTAAGTAGTGAATGTCTTCTTAAAAATTACAAAATATTCATTTATTTACATATTTCACAGAACTTCAAAATTTACCTTTAGCCATGTGCCAGACATCAAAGTAATGATTTTTGTCTGGGTGTTCTGTCCTCATGTACTTCTTAACCATGCAGTGTCTGTCTGTAACAAGTGTCTGTACAAGGAGTCCTGCATCACTAAGTCTAAGCAAACTTCGTTTTAAACCCTCCAACTCCATATGAGTGGACCCAGCAACTTCATTGCTCTACAATAAAATAATCATCAATAATACAAATATAAAAATATTGACTACAATATAATACATATATACATGTATAAATTTACATATATATATATATAAGCTCTTGAATTTTTTTTCTTCATGTTTTGCATTTCATTTGCATTTCAACAAGTTTCAAATTTTAAAAATTATAACATGTAATTAAATGAAAATAAAACTTTCAATGCATAAATAAATAATTTTACATGAGAGTGTACCTGAACTAATTGAAAATCCAACACCTTCCCCATCTCCAAATCCATGAGTGTATAGGATCCAAACTTTGCTGAGAATCCAGGGGAATCACACCTAGCATCACCCCCAAGTGTTAGGATCCTTCCCTGGTTGTTCCGGAGAAGCTCTTCCTGATGGAAATCCCATGTAAAAAGTGAGGTAGGAACCACATAGGCAGTCTGAATCCGGTTGAAGGTTGCTGCTGACATCATGGTAAGTTTCAAATGTCTAAAGAGTCGCAGGCTCTTGGATACATTGGATCCACTGAACACTATGGCACCAGCTACAAGAATGTTAGACCATGGCATTCCTTGATGACACTTCTGGCTCTCCCACTGGAAAGAGTGTCCATTAGGGCAAGTTGAAAGTGTCCCTATCATGGTCCCTCGGGTAAACTGCACCACAGAATTGCATATGCCATCACAAGTGCCACATCTCTGTAACAGCTGGGCCAGACAAGATTCGGATACCAAAAACTGTTGCTCTTCCTCTGGTGGAACATCTGAGCGTAATGGACAAGTCACAGGCACATCCTGAGTATCTTCAATCTCCTCGTCACTGGAAATGCTATCATCCAGAGGATCATAGTCTGGGTCATAGTCATTTTGGTTGTCTTCCTCCTCATCCTCGTCACTCTCTGGGTCATAAGGATCTTGTGGGATGGGATCAGGCATGGTAGCTAAGCCTGCAGCCACTCGCAACGGGACACCATCACACAGGCTTGAGCACTGGACTCCAGTGGACACAGTCTGAACACTTGATGTCATAGGAATGGAGACCTGGATTCTTCTAGTTCTCTGGGGAACCTGTATAGATGCCTGACACTTCTTGGTTTGGGTCCCTGCAGCAATAGGGGTGTTTGAAGTGGATAACTCCTTGTCAGAGGCTGTCAACTCAGCTTTGGGATCTGAAGCACTCTCCTGTGATGGTGGGGTATCTGGAGGGTTCTGCTGGATTGATGTGTCCTCAATGTTTCTCGGCTCTAATTCTTGTAGAATTTGTTGTAGAACCTGAAAACATTTTTTTTTAAAAATGTACTATGATCTAGTATCATTATATACATCAATCTTTAATCTCACCTCATGAAATCTTTTTAAAACTTTTACATGCCATTTATCTATTTTGGTCAATTTATTTATGAAAAAAAAACTTGTAAAAGAAATATTAATTACATTCATTTGAATATATAAAATTACATATTCCATACAGAAACATTCTCATTCACAGAAAACACATAAATAATTCTCATTTACAAAAAAAAAAAAAATTATGCTTCATTTTTCATTAAATTATCTAACTAATCCTCTCCGTGTCCCGCAGGACGCATGAAGGCGCACTTTTCATAATTGTTATCACCTTATTTTCTCAACAAGTATAATTTTCTAGATCAAAACAACTTGTCTGCAAAAATCAACAAAATATATACAAGTCACCAAGTGCATGCACACTCATGAGACACGGTATAGGTTGTTGCTTAATCGGCTGGACATTCGTAAATACTGAGATAAATAAATAATTAGATAATTAATTGGATTAATTTATAAAGATCTAAACTTACATCAGCCCGCTGGCGTTTCACGTAAGCTCCCCGGGGTTTTCTCGACGGGAGGACAATGGCGGCATTCTCATCCTGGGGCTTGGGTAGGAGAGGCACATCTGGAACAGCGTCGGTGCGTAGCCGTATCCTTGCACTTGAATACCCATTTTCCAACATTTTATCAGGATCCCTATCTAACTGACATTTACTGAAATGTTTAGAGCACAGTCTACTGTTTTTGGTTGGTACGAAGCTTTCCCGACGACAGAAAACTGTCCAAACTTTCCTCCTAGCAGCATCATTTGGAAAGCTAAAAAAGCTTAGTCCGCTTCCCTTTTTCTGAATGTTTGAACAACCAAAGGCTGCACAATAAACCATTATCACTTAATGTCCAGTAATTATCACCAAATCTGACAAGATAACGGTAATAATTTAATCCGATTAGGCGATTAGCACCTAATGGCCGAACAGCTGTTTTCACACTAATTGTCGCCTTTGACGTCACAAGCAATGGCGCGTAAATCTCGGGTAGAAAATATGCATAAGGCGGGATTCAAATTTTAACTGACTCAAACTTAAAAAATAAGCATTTGAATTTGTTTTTAAGAGAAATATCATATTATTTGATGCATATTTATTTCATTTCTGGCGAAATTTAAAAAAAATTGGAACCGTACGATAAGTCCTTTAAATATGTTTTCATTTTAAATTTGCAATTATGACTGTATACCATAACAGTACATATAAAAAAACTGAAATGATTGAACTTTCGTTTCTGGCATTCCAGCATAGTTTATTTTTTCTTCAAACCTTATTTTATTATAAACCTAATGTAGAAAATATCATGCAATAAATTGTTTAATAACTTTGATTAATATATGTCCTCATCATACTACAGAAATATAAATTTATTTATTAAAAGACCTGTATCGTAAAAAAATGCAATAAACTTTCATAATTTCCATCATATCATTTTACAGATTCTTACAACATTTTATCTCATTCAATGCCAGTATCCGTGTGGCGTAGTGGTTATAGCGTTTGCTCTAGAGTCACGGACATGAAGGAGTCGATTCTTACGTAGCGGGTTCGAATCCCACTGCAGGACGTGGAAACAGTTAAACCGAGGTCCCGTGTCGCAGTAAGTGCTGGTCAGAAAAAGATCCCTGAAAGCTTTTGAATGCCAAAGTTTCAGTAGGCCAAAAATGATGTCTTCTGAGAGGACTCTTTTTACTATTTCTTGTCATCATTATTGATGAATTATTATAAATTGAATTAAAGTTCCATGATCAATCGAAACACCGATATTTTGAACTGCTGAGCAGACAGCTGCGTTGTTTTGAGTGTACTTGGAGACCTAAAATAATGCGGTTTGATGTAATTTTTCTTAGGGACGCGAGTACAGGACATTTGCTAAAAAAAATCAAGCAAAAACATGACATTCATCTTCAATCATTACAAAAATCAAAATATTCTACAGGTTCTTTCATTTTCTGGTAAATGTCAGTTTCTACATTCAATCTCCGAGAAGGGTCCTCCTTCTAGAAATATTCGTCTTTAATTTAAAGTGAATAGGTTTAGTATAATATATGGATTTGACAAAATTACTTTACAATATGAACTACATATCATACAAGATGAAGTACATATCATGCAATATTGCCTTCATTAAAGATATAACATTTATTGAGTTGGGTTACTACTAATAAAATCTTAATTGGTCCAAGAATTGCAGACCCTTAAGAACCATTTCAGTTTGGGGACACAACCAAGCATCTTTGGTGGACACTACCAAGCAAAATTTACTCATGGGCGTAGCATCGTTTTTTAAAGGGGGGGGGGGGGGGTCTGAAAAAAAAAAAAATCAACTTATTCGAAAAAATTGACAAGCAAAATAGGTTCCAATTTCTTTTATTGCTAGATTTTATTAATTAACTACTTCATTACCCGTATTTGACTACACTGCAACAAAAAACGGGGGAGTTGCAACCGGGCAATGTTCAATGAACATTTCATTTTCAAGGGTAAAAAGTTCTGATTGGAAAAAGTTGGGGAAGCAGGCCCCCTGATGCTACCTGCCTGTTCCTTTGAAAGCCAATAAAGGTCATCAGACGTATTTAGTTGGGGGGGGGCACATATCCATAAACTAGCTTTATTTTCTGTAGTTTATTATATCGTGCAACATTATTTATGAAGGGGTGCTCCACTGTCCCCTTTTAGGTTCCTACAACCATCATTTTCATATGCCATTCTTAGCAATTCATTCTTAACATCCCTTACCCGATGTTGGCTCTATCTCGAAAAATTTGTGAGATGCGTTCCCAGTTTTTCATTTGTCGGAGTAAAGCTTACTTTTTACAAAGCTTACTCCAGCTTTCAGCATCACATGTATTTATTACTATCAAGTTTTATAGCCTACATTTCAAGCACGTGCTCGTCTTCAAACTTCTGAGTCAGAATTTGAAGCCAAGTTTTATAACCAAATTATTCGGAGCATACTCCAAATTTCTCTTTCGAGCAAGAGTTTGAGCTGGTGCCCGAGACAATGTTTATAATCTACTTGCCAGATTATTTATATTATGTTCAAAGGGCTAGTAATACTGTGGTTCATATATACAGAACACATACAAGTACATTGGTATCATTTCGTAGTGTTACGGTTTTGGCGTTTGGTATTTTGCGCAAATGTAACAGGATACTTTTGGAATACTTTTAACGATTAAAAATATGCAGTATCGAATGCATCCAATAACCATTTTGGATAATTAGATTATATCATTTGTTTGTATAAATCATTTCATTTTTGCACAACATGGTTTCCACATTTCTTTATCCATAGTCGCTGATAGCTGTAGAAGTTCACCCAACCGAAAATGTCCATCAGAAGGATTATCAAGAAAAAATAAAACGAAAGAAAGCAATTATTTACATATTTAATTTTACTTTACATATTTTTTTTTTTTTAAACAGTTATAAATATAATCAATAAAATGTCTTTTTTTGTTTGTTAGTACGGGCATTAACGTCGCAGCTATTGCAGAACAAAATTACATAACTCTCCTACGTGGGTTATGTATTTTTTCTGCAACAGCTTCGACATTAATTCTCATACTAACAACCAAAGAAAACATTTTATTGTTTAACTTAAGTCATACAGACGTAAATATACATGTTGTGTTAATTTTAAGTGTACCGGGGTCTTCGTGAGACTTCCCCCCTCCGGCAGACTGGCTATAAAGTGAGTCCCCCCCCCCCCCGGGAGGGCGGGGGGTGGGGTTGCTATATAACCAGTCTTCCCTACCCTCTTAAAACTATGGTGATGATTCCCCCTAGGTATTTGGTTTGTATTTTTAATCATTTATATTGTCGATATATTTTTTGCATCAGAAACTGTTTTATTAAGTAGTAAATCTCAGGCGCATTTGATTTGGATCTGGGCGCACTTGAAAAGAGAAAATTTCGATCGTTCTTCCGTCACATGATATTTTAGCATGCTACTGATATAGTGTTCATGTATTAAATAGTAAAAGGAAATATTTTCCAGATTTCTAAAAGTTGTTTTGAAAATTACGGCTAGATGAGTCAAGTGGTACAAAATGACTGTGGCTTAAGACGATGAACTCAACCAAACGATCAGATATTTTAAGAATGGTTAGAAGACCCAGAGATCATTTAAAAAAACGAAACTAAACAAAAAAAGGAAATGTGCTACTTCATTGTCGTTGTTAATTGTATAGTGAAAATTCCCTAATAGTGAGTCATCCCCTGGATGTCTTGATATATATAGTGAGGCACCCCTACCCCCCCCCCCCCCCAAAAAAAAAAAAAAAAAAGACTGGTTATATAGTGAGACAAGACTGAAAAGAACTATTCGGGAACTAAATTTCAGGGGGAAGCCTCGCTATGAAGGATGGAAGCATGCCTGGCTTTATACTGAGACTCCCCGTTTTATAGCGACTTTCTCGGGGGAGGTCTTACTACTGTATATGTATATGGCCAGGGAAGTTTCACTGCATATCCAGGCTTCCAGGGGGAAGATTCACTATATAGCCAGTCTTCCGGGGAGAATTCTCACTATTGGGGAAGTCTCACTATACAACACCGGAAACAATATTACATTAGTACTTTACTGCATCATAGTTTATGCATTCTTTTTTTTTTTTTTTTGTTTTTTTGTTTTTTTGTTTTTTTTTGTTTTGTTTAATTTACTGTTTTGATACCTTTAAGTTCTCCCGAAAAAGTAAACGTGATGTGCAGTCATTAAGATTATACATGTACATGTACATGCGATTTGTTGGACCAATGACAAGACTAAAACTGGTTGCGTGAGGCCGTTAGGCTGATGGCAGCCCGAGAA